TATAACTGCTACTTGTATCTTTTCAGGAAGAGTACCTAACATAAAATAACCACATGCAATATTATTATGCTAAGCACTTGCATATTTGAAAATAATTCTATTGGAAAATTTCAAAAATAGCTTGTTTTATAGATTGTTAGTTCAAACTCTTGTTTCCTAGATTTTCATGTTAATAGTAACTATATGATTATTTGCACTTGTTAAATAACCATATTCCCTTTCCCCATCTTAAATGTACCTTACTTGGCTAATTACCTAAAACATGAGTTCCCACTTATGCACAATTTGTTGGGACAAATAGTTGTTGATTTGTTCTAGTGTATTACAACCAGGAGGCTTTAGTCAGTTTTCTGTTCTTTAGACAAATGCAATTTTTTTTTATGATAAAGCATAGCAATGTAACCAAGCAAAGTAGAAACCTAATATCATGTAGTAATAATGTCATTAGACTATGATTTATTACTATCTGCAAATTAATAGTACTTATATTCTAGCTATTCCAAGTGGTCATTAATGTTAGGACTGAACCAGGAAATATTATTCAAGAACTTAAATTTATCGAGCTTTCAAAAAAAGGTTAATCAAAATGCACAAGAAAATGTTAAATACTTTTGAACTATGCATGTTAATATTCAACTAAATCACATTTTAAAACAATGAATAAATGTATTATTTTTTGCTAAATAAGATGTGGAGATGTGTATTTTTCACAAAAACATAAAGTATCAATCAATGGAGTCTACCAATTTACAGTATAAGTCTATGAAATAATATGAAAATATATAAACATAAATATTCAAATTAAAAAATAAAATTTGGAAAAAAGTAGGTGTAAAGTGAGTTCACTAGAAAATTAGAAAATAAAATTCGAAATACCAAGTGCAATAGAAATTGGAGCACTTATTTTTGGTTAGAATATGTTGATAATTAAGCTAAAGTCATGCACTTAATTCCCGGATGTACCAGCTTACTCTGCTTTGTTACTGAGACACAGAATGAATCACAATTCCCAGCTGTCTTGGAAGTGTGCATTATTGACCAAGATGGGCACATAGTGAATGTGTGGAAAGATTAGTTCATTCTACTACAAAAACAGGAAAACGATTCTAAGCACATTCTCTACAGAGTGGGTCAGCAGCTTAATTTTTATTTCAATTTCACTTGAGCATGTGTCTCTTATAGACAGATGTTTAATGACAGTTCTTTATAATGTTAATAATACTGAAGAGAAGATACATTTTAAAACAATACAACATTTTTCCAGAACAGGTATTTTTAAAATTGAAAAATTCAGGAACAAAACAATTAATCATATATTTGTTCTTGAATCCTTTTAGTCTAACATTCTAATGTATGTATTAAGTTCCAAAAAGCATAATAGTCTTGTTCTATAAAGTAACAGTAATTAATTATGACTAATTTACCACAATGAAAAAACATTTTTACTTGTGTATTTATGTTCACATATGCATGTATCATCTATACATTCATGTAGGTATTCACACATCCACACCCTATAACCATGAATACAGATAGTATCCTAAATGTGATGTTAATGTACATGTCAGAAAAAGTGCATATGCAAGCCCAAACCTACATATATGGCCAACAAATTTTTCTTTCAAATACAAATAGGAAATATAATGATAATTTCAGGTATATGGCTCAATGTTCCCAAGAGAAATATAAACAGTCTAAAAAGCAGTTTTTACTTTTAACTTTAAAAAGTGGGCACTGTGTTGACTGTTGGTTAGAATGAACCCTACTTCCCATGAATCTGGTTTCACTTGCCATCTTATTCTAAAATTAAAGAATATAACAGTTTGCTAAAATGGACACCATGCCATTCTATCATATTTTTTCACTCTAAAATTACTTTTATTGCTCATCTAGAACATAATTCACTGTAGAAACCTAAAATACTAACAATAATGACTTCTAGAGTCATTCTTAATTTTAAGATAATGATATTATTTGTGTAATTTAGTATTTAAATGAATGTGAACTCATTCTAAGTTCACATAAACAACCCCCCCAACCAAAGTGGGTTGGAATAATGGGCATGTTATGATGATGTGTTTATAATATTAATACTACATGTACCAAGAGAAAGGTGTTATCATTATTATCAGCATAATGACTCTAATTAGAGGAAAGAAACAGACAAATGTAGAAGACATAGAAAACCTGAATATATTACAGACTTTTTCACATGGTTACTATACTTAGATATTTTAAAGTCAGTTTTTGTCAATGCACATAATGCAATCACACATTTCATGTCCTTTGCTAAAAACTTTATAAACATAATTTGATTCTCACTAAAAATAATCTTATGGGGTAATTCATTTGGAAGTATGTGTGGTGTAGTTTTTTTAAAAATATAATCTATATACTATAGCTAATACTTATTGTTTATATTTTTCTGTAGAAGGCTTTACTTTTAATGGTAAATCAAAATACTGCTTATTCTATTTTACTATTATGTTCATTACTTATGAAGACATTTTCCCTGTAATGTTAGAGAAGAATATACAAAGAAATCAAGTACCAACTTCTCTATCTAGACATTATAATTTTAAAACATGTCAAAAAAATATATCATGGGCAGAAGAGCTAAAGAGACACTCCTCCAAAGAGGAAATACAGACAGCCAACAGGGATATGAAAAAATGTTCAACAAAAAAACCCCAATGAGATGCCACCTCACACTATTAAGAATGACACATATTGAAACAACTAGCAACCACAAATGTTGGTGAGGATGTGGAGAAAGAGGAACTCTGCTACACTGTTGGTGGGGGTGCAAACTGGTAAAACTACTATGGAAAGCTATCTGGAGGTTTCTCAAACTGCTAAAAATGGCACGAGCATATGACCCAGCAATCCCACTCCTAGGTATCTACCCAACGGACACAAAAACATTGAAAACATTCAATGGGACACCCCATGTTTACTGCTGCTCTATTTATAATAGAAAAGACATGGAGTCAACCCAACTGCCTCCCCAAAAGATGACTAGATTAAAAAAGATATGGTACATGTATACAATGGAATATTACTCAGCAATCAAAAAAAATTTTTACTTTTTTTGTAGCAACATGGATGGAGCTGGGAGGGATCATGCTTAGTGAAATAAGCCAGAAAGAAAAAGAAAAAGAACTGGATGGTTTCACTCATAGCAGGAACACAAGGGATCAGAAACAAAAATCAACTTTAATAAAGTAGAAATTAAAAAACAATGAACAGCTATAAACCAGAGAGCTTTTACAGTGGTGGAGAGGGGACTGGGATTAGAAATGGGGTGGGAAGTGCCCACTGCTCCCCTCAGCAGTGTATTTCGTCAATCTGCCTGTTCTGCTCTCCACTCTGTCTCTGGTGAATCCTCTTACCGCCCCTGTACCTGTATTGGGGCCTGTACCCCAATTCTGTATGCATAAATAAGTAAATCATAAAAAAAAAAAAGAAATGGAGGGGGAAGAGTGCATGGGACTATGGTGATGGCACACAGGTGAATTGGTTATGGGAAGTCCACATTACAACCAAGATGAAAAAATGTACAATATGAAGAATGATGTAAAAAATAAAGAACTATCTCAAAGTGCAAATGATTAAAGAAAATAATTTTTCATGTCAGTAAACATAATTCTCTATAGTAAGTACACAGTGAGACTGACTATTATCTACATATTGGTGACAGCTGTAATATATTCATTAGTAAAAAATACTACTCAATTATCTAAAATTCAAACACACAAACAAAAGAGCATAAGAAAGTGGCAGAATGTTTAGTTCCTTCCTTCAAAATTAAGTTACCCAAGAAGTAGATATAGAAGCAGAAAGTAGCAGCAAACAGCGAGCTCATCATAGAGAATTTTTCACTCTACAAGGAAGTCATGATATTAGTAGTTCTTTATGTTCTTTACTTATGAACAATAAAAACATTTTAGAATAAAAACTTGATTTTTAGATGACTTTTAGATGATATAATTAAAGATACTACGTAGCAGAAAAGAGATTTTTATGTATGTATGTGACAAAACATTTTAAATCCATTTACCAAAAATATTAACTGCATACTACAGATGTGAAGTTAAGTGTATATGTCTAAATCTATGTTTACATACACACATACGGATAGTTCTATACGAATAGTTGAATCCAGTTCAATTATCCGTATAGTTTACATTCACATATACGGATAGTTCTATATGGACAGCTGAATCCAGTTCAGTTACACTCGTACAAGATATATGTTTCCTGTTTTAATACTCACTAGTTAGTGTTTTCTCTTTCACACTAGGACAAATATAGGCACAATTAAATAGAATAGTTCAGACTCCCGCAAAAGAGACATTCTACATCATTCTCTGCAAAAGATACATTATTCTACATCATTCTCTGCTCTAGTTACAAATCTGCATAAATCTGTAAGTGCAGTGTACTATTCACACAAGATTACTTTATAAATGTCAAAGTAAGACTTCCAAAAGCAGAACAAACTGTTTTCTATGATAAAGCAAAGCACCATGTCTTGCCTTGCACTGTCAGGAGATCTGACCTTCTGTTCTTCCTGATTGCACAAGAACACTTCACAGAGAAAAGGCACAGGCAGAAATAGTGATAGACAATGATAGTTTTCTCATCCTTTCTGCTTTTAAGATTGTAGAAAGATAAGGACAACCCTGTGCCAGCAATCTGAAGGAAAAATTCTTGTTTGACAACTGTGGCATGCAACAAATTCTCATAATTTGGTTGTTTACAGCACTTGGGAAGATGCCAAGATTGCAGTAATTATCAATACCAAATGACACATGTGTTTACTTTCTTCCTACCTGCTAGACTGAAGGATTCCCTCCCCTCCACAGGTGATCCACTGTATTTTATAGTGAGTATTTACTAACTACTATTTCAGTTAGACATTGATTAATTAAAGTGAATTATGACAATGTTTCTAAAGAAATGAAAAATAACAAAACAGTTGATATATACAGTCTTACCAGGTGAAGATAAGGCATAGCAATGTAGATATTAAAATCAAAACTTGATTAAACATGGCAGACTGGGTACGCTGAATGGCTCTGTGTAGATCATTCTAATATGACAGAGGAAAAGAGCATATTTTAAAATACAGTAGTACTAAGTGTCTGTGAGTTTCATTACATCTACTACTATATATTACACTTCAACTTTCCTATATATAGCTAATAACTCTTTAAAAGAACATAGCAGCATATATTCATTTATCCCCAGGTCTAGTATTTGCAGTAATACTAGGGGAAGACTACATTTCAGTTCACTTGCCTTACAAACATCTATGGAGATTTTGTGCAGAATTCCTAAAACTTTTCCATAATCATCAACTTTTATGGAATATTCTAATGTAAAAAGATAATTAAGTTATATTATTTCATTTAAATGGGAAGTAATAGCTACATCAAACTACAATCGTATCACAGTCTCTGAATCAGGAAAAATAGCATGAGTTATGCCAGGCAATTTATCACAAATGAAAAATTATATTGCTAATAAACTCACTAAAAATTCATTAATATTTAAATAAATTTGAATTCAGATATACCTTTCCAATTAAAAGACATTAAAAATAATAAAATACCATATAATCTACAATGAAGAAAAATTAACATTCACAATTCTGCTCATATAATTTGCAATACATTTTTGAAGGCAATTTGGTAATATAAGCCAAAATTCAAAAAATCTGCTTTATAGTTCAACCACTGCTTCATTCATTTAAAAAGTAAATTCAGTAACCAATCAATACAATACAGTATATGTAACAAAAATTCTAAAAATTAATTTCATAAAAATCATCAAACATGGAAACTAATGTTTGTGTGTATTCATTTATACAAAATTTTAGTATTTATTATATGGAAAAAATACTTTCTTCCACTTAAAATATGCAAGCCAAGTGGTTATGTAAAGTTATCAATATCTATAGTTAATTTAGATGCATATACTAACAATTATTTAAAGAAAATTTAGTAACATAGGAACTTGTCCACCATATACTATGACACAAATTAACATTTAAAAATTGAACATATATTTTCATGCATGATATGTATGTTTTTTTTCCACTGAAAACATTGGAAATATTTAAATTACTACAAGGTTTAGTCCTTGTAATAGATCATAGATTTTCATCACTTACCCTATAATTTCTTGTTCATATCAAACTTTTGCAATAAAACTTTAACAGTCTTAAAATCAGTGTAGCACGAGATAAGTAATTCGCCAACATTAAATTTTAATGAGTCATAACTTTATTATGATAACTCTACCAAACATATAACCTTAACTATTAGAAAAAATTAAAAAATAAGTTAAAAAAAAACCAGTTGATTAGAATTTTACTCATCACTCCTTAATTTCCCCCAACAGAAGTGTTAATGATCAGAAAAAGAAATACGTAGTAACCAGTGAGTTGAGAAGTAAAATATAAAAATACAATGAAAATTGAAGCTTCAATTAATATTGCAAAGCATAACTTTTAGTCTCAATTACTTTATGATTGAGTTAGGTTTCCCTTTTGGCCCCTTTTTCCAACAACTAGTAATACAAACCAACAAAGTTTTTTTTTTTTTTCCTGGCATATTTTTTCATTAGTAATTTAGACAATCTATCTTTGGTGAAATGTTTTGGTGGGGAAGGCAGATAATATCCCTCCCCAAAATTCCTGCAAAACATTCCACAGACCATACTCACCCATTTTTAACCCTGTATTTTAATGGAACTCTAGCAGTTACTTTATACTTACTTAGTAACAGTCATTCAGTTGTGAAAACTTAATATTATCCAGATATTCTTTTGGAATAAACCTTTTGTCAAAATTTCCACTTAACCACCAAGTTTGCCACTAAGCAAAATATAATTTTGATAAAACTGAGTCCTTACTGTATTTATGCCAGATATAATATTTATCTATATATGTATACACATACACATATATGTGAACACACACATGTATGCACACGTGTGCATTATGTATACATACAATTTCATTTAATTCTCACAGCAAATCTGTAATGTTCATACTTTCATTTTCTTTAAAGATAATGAAATTAGAGAAGTGTAACCATTTACCTCTCATATCAGAGTAGTGCTTAGTATATAGTACATCCTTATTAACATTTTTAGAATAAATGACTACATAGCAATGTCTTTCAGCTAACTTGTAATTATTGAAGCCTATACTAATAAGCATTTTTGGGTAATAGTTATAAGTCAGTTTTTCCAAAGTGGATCAGTCTTTTGCAAAATGCAGCAGTGTACCTCTGAATTCTGAATCTTTTATTCTTATCACCTACTTCCCTGTCTTGCTCCTAATAGCCCTCTCACACCCAACCCACCCAAATCTAAACAGCTCACTAAATAAGAGGCTTCCATCTCCTATATAGGGCTTTACCCCACTGATCTTTATGGTTAACGAATCCACACAGATTTAATAGTGCGACCTCTCCTTAACGCAAATGGTTCCAGTATACATCAACAGATTGCTCTGGAATGAAGAAATTGTCTTCACAAGATAGTTGAATTTATCCAAACAGCATTAGCATTTGTTTTGTGACAGAAAATCAAAACCATTTTTGTTTATCAGTTGATGGGATCTTACAAAAGTAGTGACTTGATAATATTGGTATCTTTATGTTTCATTTTGATGACGGTAAAAATTAAATCTTCATTTAAACTCTGTTAGTGTAGTGAGCTACACTACAAAGCACTTTAATTATTTGATAGTATGCTACCAGATTCCTTTCATTTTTTACAAAAATCCAAATAAAAATACTGACTAGGGTTCAAATTGATTTAAAACATTTAGAAATTTAAATATAACTAAATTTGAAATGTATGAGTTTATATTTTATGGAATGGATTTGAGAAAGTACAAGAGTAAGACATCAAATTATATTTTCTCTATGTTTAATCTGAATACTGAAAATAAGTAAGAAATAATAATGACAAAAATATTTTTGTATTTGTGTTTTACTTTTATACTTACAATCATATTTTCTAAGACATGTTTGGCAAGCCAACAGTTTAGAAAGACTGGGACAAAAAGATTCCTTAAGGGAGGCCAGAATATCTGAAAAACAAACCAAAACTGGACTTCTTTCTCAAAGTAAGAAATAAATCATATCCAACAAGAATATGAAAAGAATTTAAACAGAAAAAAATTAATAAAGACAATATGTTTAAAACATGGAATAAATACCTAAATCTTAGCATATTAAAGAGATGTGAGAAGCAGATATACTCTTTTCATCACTATCTTAATCTTAGGAAAAGCTTCTAAGAGAAATTAGCAGAGGAAAGAAACATAAGTTCTCTCTGGATGTCAAATACAACTATGCTAATTATATCATTAAATCTTCTAGTGTGACAATTTATAATATACATTGGCTCTCTCTTCTCTGCAACTTGAGGTGAAAAGTAGAACAAGGAGAAAATACTGCCTTTTGATAACAATACTGCTTATTCTTTTGGAAATAAATACTTTAAATGAGATTGGGAAACCATGGTCAATTGAAATTATATTTAATTATTTAATCAAGTTCCAGTTGTTCATGCAACTTAAAATAATTATCAGTAGTGAACACTTGTTTTTAACAATCTCTATTTATTGTCATAATTTTCCAAATAAAACTCAAACATAGTGTTTGGAAACATAATCCCAACAAGTATCACAAAACTCATACCACATAGAGATTAAAACCTAATTTTACAATGAAAATGAGCTGGTTAGATATTTATGGGACTTCCATTAAACAAGATACTCTTTAATAGGTACTGCATAGTATACTTTGTTAAAGTAAATTGTCAGATATCAACAGTCCCTTTAAAGAAAAAACTGGATAATTAGTAAATCCATGATTAAACTATTAATTCTCAATATTTGAAAGTACCTGTTTTCTATTTTTGCATATATTTTAAAACATATAGAAGAAATGGAATGATTAATTTCTAATCTGTTAGACAATACTGGCACTTGTTTAAATGGTACTACCAGAGCATATATTTTAAAAAGCATTTTAGTTTGCTATCGTACTATTATTTTCATTTAATTCCAACATCCAGATATTCTCCCGTGTGTACTACAGATATTTTAATACTATGAGGCTTACAAAAGTCTAAATTCATGTATCTAATATATTATTCTACAACATTTAAAATTTAAAACTTAATGATAAAAAAATTAAGATTCTTTTAGAACTTACCGATATAATGAAGGGAACTGCATTAATTATTTCCAAAATGAAAGGTATTCGTAAAATCTGTTCCCAGATGTTTCCCTTCCAAGAGAGAATGAATAAAATGAACGTCAATTATATTGAATCCAATTTAAGGGGGAATAAAAGACAGGGCTTAGAATTTCATTAGCAGTAAGTATGTATTAACAGATGACTGACTCACTATATGCAAACACATAGCAAGGATTTCTAAGTTAAACTGTGCTTTCTTATTTTATGATAAGTTTAAGAAGTAAAAGGTTTATCATAGCGCTTCAATACTACACATACTTTGATCATACAGGAGGAAATGTTACTAGTTAAAAGTTAAACACAGGGCCCTCCCTGGTGGCGCAGCGGGTTAAAGCACTGCACTAAAAAGCTAAAGCCACTTCTGCATGAGTTAGATCCCCACCCGCCC